CCATAGTAAAGTATTTATTTGCTAATCCGTTATAATTTTTAAGTTAATAACATAGCGCTGTCTGCTGTTATGACGCAATGAACAGACAGCTGACAGCTAAGCCATGTCAGCTATAGTCATGTTAATAGTATATTATTTTTCATTCAATGGATGTAAATTTTGTTTGAAAACATTTTACCGTTTATATTATTTATTTAGCCTACAGTTAAAAAAGCTAATCATCGACTGATTACTAACTCTTTTGCCACTGGTTAGGGTTCCATTATCATGTTAATGAAACCAATCAAGAAAACAAATTCATCAGCATTGATACCATAAACCTCCAACCAAAGATGTTCGTAAATACCCTACCACGATCATATACCTAAAAAGCCGAAGCTCCCACGACAACGAGAACAGATTGAGAACGAGCCTGAAAAACAGAGCATAAGAAGACGAGAACGAGACGACTCGACGACCACCTACTTGAGCCAATGGTCGAAATTAAAAAGGCCGGAGTCATCAGGCTCTAACCACAGGAGTGCTCCATTAACGATCAGGTAGCGGATATAGGTACATATTTTTGGTTAGTGAAACATAAAGAATCGGAAACTACCTCTAGGATTTACTGTTATAGATTCTCTTTTTACTATCTATATAGATTGTATATATATACAATGCATGTTGGGCTATATTATTTTAACCTTTTTTCCTTGGAGCAACAGACAGTAGATACCTGGTTAAAATCTACTCCAAACAATTTTATTTTTCCACCCATTGGAATTTGTTATAGTAATTAATGAAAGGAATATATGTATTGCCTGTACAAACCTATTCCACTCGATACAAAGTATAGATTAAACACTACAATTACGTGTCAAATTAAATGTTATGAAATTTAAAACAAAAGTTTTGAATAAATTTTCAACATATGTTTTGAAATAAAAACAAAACAGAAGTTTTCTAACTAATCTTGCATCGTTGATTATTTAGTCAATGGGGCTATTTCATGTTAAACATTCCTTCAGCACAACAATAACCTACAAATGTGAAGAAATATAATCAAAGTAAAATAATTTTGTAAACTTCGTGAACATATGTTTAAAAAAACCAAAGCTTAAATGTTTCAGCCATTCTACTTCCATTTACTTTGATTTTAACCTAACCATCTCCCACGATTCTACTAAATTTCATGCGCTTGGCTAATTTACATACAAATACACAAATTTGCAAATTGCACAGTAAAATTAATTTCAAAATTCTAAGACATAACGAAAAAAGTCTCAATTGTAGGTAAGGTCATCCCTGGTTTTATATAGTATACAGTACATTGCAGAATTTACTGGCAAATGAGTTAAATCCAAATGTAATATTGCTTACTGGCTTAATGATAAATCACGATCAGCTGTATTGAGGTAAACAAAAATCAACATACAAATGGCTTCTAATGCTATTCTTATGGAGAACATTTTACGTTATATTATTGACTAAGTCAAAGGTTATATCTAATTTTGTGTTAAAATTTGGGGAATTTCACTATTTTTCCCGCCGTCACGGGATCGAGACCTTTAATTTGAACCCCCTCCCGTCGTTCTACGACTACCCAGTCGCCCACAATTTTGACGCAAAGAATCGGCTTTCGTAATTAATATATAGACTAGCCTAGTGTACCTGTTGCTCGAATTCGAGCAGTATTGCGAAGCATTACAGGCGACTCAAAGATTATGGAAATACTCACGATCTACACAACAGTTAGATATAATCAAAATCTTTTGTAAATATCTTATCTTTTTTCAAAAAGCTGATCTTTTTTTCGTGTTTTTAATGTAAAAAAAACAACATTATTTCTATTTCTTCTACTTGGTTGTGTTCTATGACTTTTTCTATGTTTCCATTGTTTGCAAATCGGTTATTTCAATGATTGCTCAAGAAATGTAGCACAGTGTTCTAATTCAGTTTTATTTTTAGCCTATATCAAATTGTCCAGGATTACTCGCTCTTTTCCATTGTATTAATTACCCCAAACCAAGTTTCGTCTAGAGATGCAATATGCCAAAGAATATTACCTACGTACAATCTCCAAGAAGTGGTAAAAAAGGCAGAAACCAACCCATACAATAGATATAAGTTAACTCCATAAGAAATAATTTTAAATGTTACTGTGGTATTAGTATTGTCCACTGATTTGGTAATAGAACATTATATTGCAAAACATGACACGATGCAGAAGAAAATCAATTTTAAAATCAGAAAAATCCATTGCAAATACTGTACTTCAGTTTGACAAATTCAATAAATCACAATTTAAATATTAACAGCTGTTGCATTAAAAAAAGTAGTTTAGAATTATGCATATGGTCGTAATGTAAACAAATCTGAAGAGGCAACTTTAAAGGCTTCTGGGGCAGTGACCCAATGGAATTTACCTCTTTCCTCTTTTGATGGCTCATCTACAGACCAAGTCCTTTATTTAGAGACCCCTACCAAGTTTCTACACCCAGCCGTTCTCTCAAATTAGCTGGGACAAAAACCCAGTTTTCCTCCATAAGAATAACATGGGATGGGACTTTAAAGGCCACTGGGGCAGAGCCCCAAGGGAATTTTACACGTTTCTCTTTTGATGGCTCATCTACAGACCAAGACCTTTCTTTAGACACCTCTACCGAGTTTCTACGCCCAGCCGTTCTCTCAATTTAGCTATGACAAAGAAAAACAGTTTCAAATAAATATATAGATAGATATTTAATTTCCACAAAATCAGTTAATGTAACCAATGCGTTTCGTTGAATTGAAAAAACAAAGAACACAATTAAATTAAACAGCTGATGTAAACAATATTATGTTCTTCGTAAGGATAACATGGGAACTTAAAAAGCCACTGTGGCAGAGGCCAAGGGACTTTTTCAAAAAATTTAGGCCAGTTTGCAAATCTACGCAACACGCTCTTTCCAATGAGACGTCAGTGGATAAAATCGGTTAAGAAATGGTGGAGGATTCAACCGACAAACTTCGTGTTCGCGTATTAATTATACAGATTTCATATGTGCATGAAATGTTCGTATGAAACCAACTTGTATACCTTTAAGCTAAATGGTTTAAGTTACCTGGCTTCGTCAAGTGATCCTTCTTCAGTATTACACTTCTATAGTTTCGGACTTGAAAATAAGTCCATCTTCAGGTAACGTCAAATTGGTTAGATAGGTTAACTTATGTCTATATTGTATGGGTTGGTTTCTGCCTTTTTTACCCCTTCTTGGAGATTGTATATAGGCGTGTTGCACGTGATGATAATCTTTGGTGTATTGCATCTGTAGACGATACTTGGGTTGGTGTTTTATTACAATGGAAAAAGCGAGAAGTCCTGGACAATTTGATATAAGCCTACTAAAAATAAAACTGAATTAACACTGTGCTACATTTCTTGAGCAATCATTGAAAGAGACGATTTGCAAACAATGGAAACATAAGAAAGTCATAGAATACAACCAAGTAGAAGAAATATAAATAATGTTGTTTTTTCTTCATTTATAATTGCTATTATAGAGAACTAATGCGGCTATGAGTTGGAAAATATTGTAGAAAACTCTAAAAAAAAGATCAACTTTTGAACAAAGATAAGATATTTACAAACAATTTTGATTATAATATCTAACTGTTGTGTACATCGTGAGTATTTCCATAATCTTTGAGCCGACTTTTATAAAGGCATTGGAAATTATGACCGTTATACGTTTTAAAATAACACCTGTAATGCTTCGCAATTTCTCGAATTCGAGCAACAGGTACAACACTAGTTTAATCTAAATCGGACCACAGGTTTTGTCTGTAGCTCTGTATCTGGATCATTCAAGTGTGTATTATATAACCTGATATTAGTCAAAATATGTTTTATTCTATAACGTTTAATTTAATTAAACATAAAAGTCATGCTCCCTCCATTTTTAAAGTATTCAGTCCAAAAATGTAATAAATTTACTTGTGCATACATATTTATTTCGTTTTAATAAATAATTGAGGTGATGCAATACACTTATGTAGGCAGTCGCAGCAGTCGAAGCCGGGCATAGCGCCTAGAGTTTCACGAACGCAAACCGCGCAACGAGTAGCTAAATGAGCCGTAGAGTAAGTGAGCCATCTAATATTTTGAAGAGGGTTCACTTACTCTACGGATCATTGTGCCAATGATCTGTAGTGCAAGTGAGCCATCTAATATTTTTCTGCAGGCTCGTATAGTATACGAGCCTATTCCTATAATTTATATTATTCATTATTTTGGCTCGTATACTATACGAGCCGATTCCTTAATTATCAAATAATTCGTAAGCTTGGCTCATAGTCACTATGATCTGTAGAGTAAGCGAACCTTTCTACTGTATTTTTAAATATAATACACGAGGCTCATAGGCACAATGATTTGTAGAGTAAGTGAACCCTCTTCATTTACTTTTTATTTTCGATAGGCTCGTATAGTATACGAGCCTGTAGTGCAAGTGAACCTTCAATATTATTTAAAAAGCTCGTATAGTCTATGATCTGTAGAGTAAGTGAGCTGTCCCCATTGGAACTACGGCACCGATCACATTTATTTTTTACTTTCTTGAGCTTTGGTCATTCAAAATAATTACAGTACTTCTAATGGCCTGGCCGCTGGCCTCCCACGTTTTTCCCATGATCCTCCGTTCCTCGTGCTTTGCGAGTCGCCCGACTTAATCTTTCTCTTTTTCCTATCCTAATTTTGTAACAGTGAGGTTATGAAATACGTTCGTGTGAATTGAAAATTGAAATTGAAATAATTATTTTTATAGCGTGGTTACTGAATTAATTATTTAAAATGTCTAGTCGAGAAGGAGGCAAGAAGAAACCACTGAAAGCGCCGAAGAAAGAAAAAGCAGAAATGGATGAAGAGGATATGAAATTAAAGCAAAAACAGAAGGAAACGCAAAAGGCGTTGGCTGAAGCTAAACAAAAGGCTGCACAAAAAGGACCTTTAGTTGGTGGTGGAATTAAAAAATCTGGTAAAAAGTAATTTTATACTTTTAACCAGACACTTATTATAAACTATATTTATTGAACTCACATCTGTGTTACGAGCAAAAGACGGTCACTCGTTATTTTCATTTTGATCAAAATTTAATCCTCAGTTTTTAGCCCCAAAAATAATGTCTAGTGATTTAATTCCCGGATTTGGCAGCGATGGAATTAGCGACATCAGTCCTGAAGATTTACAGAGAAAACTCTATTTTTTAAACGAAAAACTTCAGATAATGGCAAAGGATTTACCTCCGTAAGTAACTTACCTCCTAGTTGAATCCTAGTTTTATCTTGGCTTATTTTACACATAGTGACTGTTTCCCCAACTTATCAGTAGGGCCTAGCCTAATTTGTCATTTTAATATCACAGAGGTACCTAGGCCTAACTTGGGGCCTATCAGTTCCACCGAGAACCTTGGCTACGGTAGGCTTTAAGCTTATCGGACAAAATTTTCATTTGATAGGCTTATGAAAATCAAATTAAATATTGTATCCAATATCATTCTAGGGTACAGTTCCGCAGAGAACCTACGGTATTATCCGATGTAACTTAGGCTACAGTAGACTCCCTCTTATCTGGACACCTTTTAACCGGACATCGGTTTAACTGGACTAAACTCGGCGGAACTGACATCTCTTTAGACAATTAATTGTTATCAGCACATTGGTTTAACCAGACTAGATCGGCAGGAAGTGGGCAGTAGGCCCACTGAAACGACGGTTCTCATGGGAAAGATATATGAGACCAGTGATCACGTGTCTAAACACAATGCTCTCCTAAATTTAACTAGTATATCACAGTAAGTTTGAAGAGTCCGTTTTAACGAGTTTTTGGGGGTGTCGGTTTAACTGGAAAATCCGTTATCCGGACTGACCTTGGTCCCTAGAAGTCCGGATAAGAGGGAGTCTACTGTACTTAAGTTAGTTGGATATTTATTTTAAAAAGTAAAGCAAGTTAAAGTAGGCCTATTAAAGTTTTAAATAGGTAATACCGTACATTAGTTCAATTGGTATAAGTTTTACTTAAAGCCTCTTGTAAGTTGGAAGAAGTTTTCACGTGATATATAATATTAATTAATTTATCAAAGAACATGAGATAAGTTACCCCACCCTATTAACTTAGCCTAATTAGGCTATTAAGAACTTTAACTAAAGGATCTCAGGTACTTTCATACTGTGCTGCGGCCGTAAGGTTAGATCAGTACAGTTTAGGTTAAATATTCGGTATTTTAGTTTGTAAAAAGTTTTTTCATGAGTTAAAAAAGTAACATTTGGTAATAGGCTTTACCTGATTTGTATCGTAAATTAAATTGAACTAAGTTTTACTCACATAGGTAACTCAAATAGGCCTACTGCAGCTCACTGTAACGAGAGTAGTGGATGACCCGCTCTTCTTGAAAGGGCTCATAACAGAAAAATCATTTTGAACCATTTATAATATTTCCAACTAATATCCTATTACATCTAATAAATAATAGGGTATATTTTAAGTTCTCTACAGAACTGTACCCCTGTATTCTGTCAGGGATTTGGGCATAGATAGGACGTTAGTTATTATTAATAGTTTGCTAGTTTCCATTCTGCTGTAAGTTACCGTACCTAACTTTAGGTTTAAATCAAGATTGTCAGATCATGACTTGGAGACCACAATGAGCAAGGACCACAATAGGGAATTTTCCGATTCCTATAAAATAGCCAGAACATAGCCTATTACATGTTATTGTATTCCAGAAAGTATCAACAGAGGATTCCCAACGAATTGTTGTGTGGTCTAGCAGAGTCTCTACTGGATAACACAGTGTTTGGAATTGTTGACAACCTGATGGACATTCAACATGTGACAGAGAAACAGCTGTTTCAACAGAGACTTCAGTTCATGAACAAACACACCCGTGAGTTTCAGTCTAACTAGGATAAATTTGTGTTTACTTGCATTGAGTAGAATAGCTCTGTCCATACTAACTTACATAGAGTAAATGACTTGCATATTCAAACATTATGCTGACTAGATTATAACTTGATTCAGCTTTAAATGAAATGCTTCTAATTGGTTGCTTTCTGATATGATAAACACAAACTATAGGTACCTAACAATGACTGTAAACAAATTCCTTAATACTTTTGATGTACAGTACATGTAAATTTTTACTTTCAAAAATCAGATTCATAACAAGTGAAATCAAGATACCGTAGGCCTAACTTAAATGCTTCCAGAGTTGTAAACTTCAAATTCATGCTACAATTCTCAAAATTATTCCTCAAGGGTAATTTAGGCAACAGTAAATTTAATACACTTAGGTAGGCATATGAATCTAAATTAGCAGTTAAAACTTCTCAAAGGTAGTTATTTGTTAAAGCTTAAACAAACCACGCAAATCTGTAAAAGTAATAAGTTAGGTACACTAAAACAGTTCCACAATAAGCGTATTGTACTTAATTTACATGGGTCTTTAATGTTGATTTCACACCTTTGGCATTTTTGTTAGGAAACAGACTTTATTCACAACTCTTCATTCTTTCAAACATATATTCCTAAGCCAAGTGGCTTTTTTTCCACAGGTACTTTCATTAGGCAATTTTAGTGTTCTTCTTTGTCTTAGAGAATAACTTATTTTCAACTCTATCTCTTAATTTCTTGTTTCGTTGATAGTGGCTCTGCAAGAGTTGATGATGAACACACAATTAGATGAGGAAACCAAGGCAAAACAACGTTCTCTGATGCAAGCGTCCCATAAAAAGGAAATGCAACTGTTTGACATGAAGCTAGTTACAGAATTGGACAAGAAGGTTAGTTGGAAAATTCAAAGATAAAATATGTTTCTCACCATATTGACAATGATATGTAATCATGAGACATTATTTTAATTTTGCCACAGTTGCGGTATATGATGATGTCTTCACTCTTCAAGATCCCAAGAGACCTTAAAAACGTTTCCTCCCTTGGCAGGACACGTTAATAATATCCTTTCGGTTGTGAGGGATTTTAAAATCTTTTGCGAGAATGGATGATCATGATGGTGCCAAGAATGGGTGCATCATCATCATATCCCACAATCGCTTTAGCTAACAACTGCTTTTCTATAGGAAACTACAAGAGACAGGCTTTAAAACCCAACAGTTATAATACGTTTTTACGAATAGTTAATAGGCTATAATTTTTAATATTTTTGGGTCATTGCACATATTTTCAATTATTTTCCATCAATTATTTAGTCAAACATAGGTTTTACCTGTAACAACCAGTGGCGGTTCTAGGGCCTTGTCAAGGGGAGGGGGCTACCGTGGTGTTCCTCACCAGGAGGGGATCCGGGGGTCCTCTCCCTGCAAATTTGCTATTTTTAAACCCATATTTAAGGTTTCTTTTGTAACTATATTCAAAAATCTCCGTTACGTTTTTATAACAAAATGTATGTTTGGGTTTATACTACCAGGGTCCAATGGGGGGGGGGGGGCTTTAGCCTCTACAGCCCTCCCCTTGGAACCGTCACTCATACAACTGGGTAACGACTAAAACCAGACTGATAACAATTTAACCAACACGTTACTGTACTACTTAACATTTTAATACAACAACCTGTGTTGTTTAATAGGTGAGTGACCAACAGCGGATCCTAGAAATGGCTGGTGTGCCGGGGTTTGAGGTGACCAGCGACCCTGTCAAGATACAGGTGCAGATCCGACTATTAGACTTCATCTTGCGTCTCAGTCAGATGCAGTTGCCTCCCTAGCATTGGCTCACGGTGAGCGACTAGTTCCTGGTCTCCTCACCAAAACAAGAAAAACCAAAAAAACAATTTTGTGGAGTGAATACTTTGTTGGAAGTGTTATTGCTGTGTTTCTGGAATATTTGGGGCTGTATTTAATTGGTTCAGTTAAAAATATTATTTATGGGGAATATGAGTTCTGTAAAATTTGTTTGTCATTTAAATTTTAGTTTCTTAGGGAATTTATAAAGCTTAATTTGAAATATGTGAGGAAAAATATGTCAATGGAATTCCTGTGTTAAATTTTTAATAATTAAATTCAACGGGATTAATTTTTTGTTTTGACTAAGTATTGTATAATGAGTTTGCATTTATGATGAATTAAAGTCTAGTGTGTTTACTAGATTTTTATGAATTAAAATGTGGTTTTAATATCTAGTCAGAATTTTATTGTAACCCCAGAATTCCATACAATAGTAAGAAACATTTGACTGTGTTCAGTGATCACAAAAGTAAGCTTACTAGTTTGACAGTCATTGGAGCATTCAGTAATTTGAGAATATTATCCTCCCGTACTAAAAATTTGAAAAGAGTGCTCTGGTGGGATGAGAATCTAAGGAAGCTTTATCAAAAGTATTAAAAAAACATCCATAGCAACAGACCAGAGCATAGGAAACATATAGGATGTACAAAATTGTTTGTAGCCTCAAGTAAATGTAGTACACACGCATGTAAAGTGTAATGAATTATAAGGATGTTGTTGGGATACACATAAATCGTGAGAAAATAAATTTAGTAAGGAAAATTATTGAGCCCCTTTCGCTACCGACATGTTGGATTTTTGACACGGACCGGCGTCAACTTGGTCTAAACTCACTGGACCAACGTAAACTATTGTTGACGCTAGCATGTTTACACTTAATATCTTGTCACAAATGTACGATTTATTTTATCAAATAGGTTGTTAGTTTCAGTTCTAATGGAATAACCCCTAAATATCCTGTAGCTGTGGTTTTCACGTGGCCGATTTTTTTCTGTACAATCGGCAACATTTTTCTTACTAAAAAATTTCTACAGGTCTCAATGCGTTAGTTGACCCAGTCCTCTTCAAGTGAGTTGATGTGTGTTTATTGAAATAGTATATTTCATTACTAGGACCGAAAGTGGCATTTCCGACGCGTGCTCAAGTTTCCAAATTTCACGTGCCTCGGACGGGAGCAAGTGTCGGAAAATAGCTTTCAGTACGAGTTATGAACGATACTTTTTATCACAACGCAAAAATACACACGCACAGAATAACATATCTCAGTAGTATTAAAATAGTCTTAGACCACTCTTTATCATTGAAAATACACTTCACAACATACATATGGTTTCATAATTGCAGATTTTTTCAATAAATATATTAATAAATTTATACTTTGTCACTTAATTTAATTAAGAGTTAATATTTTGTAATTTGTACCAGTTTAGAAGCTTTCTGTATTCCTCTTCTTATCTCTCCCGTAATTTATCTGGTGGGAGGTCATTAATTACCTCTGAAGCAGTTTTCATTAAATTATCAGTAATGTTAGAAATACTCTGAGCAATTTCAAACATGCACTATGCTAAAAACACAGCAAAACAAACTAATGTCTGTTTCTGTACAGATTTAGATTAAGCGACAATTAATAACAGCTGATTTAAATCATTAAAACAAACCTAACAACCTGCGCAGAAATGAAAAGATCACGTGGTTCGCGCCGGTAGGTGTGGCCTACCCTTCAAACCTGCACGGCTTGAAAAGGCCCAGGGTTCTTTTGTTTCTGGGATGTCTATAGCGAACATAGTGGATAAATGGAGAACTAATCTAGAGCGAGGGAAAGTAAATTTAGAGCAAGGGAAAATCAGCTGTTCCTTTTTCCCTCGCTCTAAATTAGAGCTTGGGAAACAACTACTTTCTTTCATATCAGCTGTTATCAAAAATAGTTACTTTTGGTAAGGAGTGATGAAAAATCTTTTTTTATGTCATGGATAAAAATTGACATACTAATAATGGACAATAAGACAAATCTAATAAATACATGATTTTGATTTCTATTTGTTGCTGTTTCATGTAAATAGATATTATTCAGACTAATTGACAAAAAAAAAAAAAATACCCCCGCTGCAGCAAACCTGCAGACTAAGCGAATTTCCATTTGACTGATTGGATTTACACTGAAATGTCTACTGAAAAATATAACATTTATTCCAGATTTAAATAGAACTAGTTTAACAAGTACTTAGGTTTGCTGCATCAGGGAGGGTAAAACTGTTTTTTGTCAAATGTGAATAGTTAGTAAGAAATAAAATCATTTTCCAAATTTGATCAAAATATGTTCACAAAAAAGCAAACTACAACAGTTTACTTATTCTCCATAAGAATAACATGGGAATTTTAAATTTACAATTTTTTGGAATTTTCTCCGTAACCATTAGGCGCATAATAACGCTTCAATATACTAAATTACTTGTTTTTTTAAGCTCTACAAAATGGTTTGGAAAGAAATTGCTAAATTTGATGTTTTTTGGGTCAAAAATGGGAAAAACCTATTTTTACCCCATAAAACCCCCCGTAAACCCCCGTTCCCATGGTCCGATCATGCTGGATCACGAACTCGTTCGAATAAACGTACGTTTACACGTTTGTACCAAATTTCATCAAAATCGGATCATTTTTGCTCGAGTTATCGTGCTGACGGACACACATATATATATATATATATATAAATATATATATATATATATATGAATTTGAACGGATGGTGTTTTTGGCCTCTAGGGACCTCAAAACGGAAAAAAAAATCGGTCCCGCGTCCAGGTCTTACCATGAGTACTACGGTAATAGCTTATTCCCTATATGGGAAATTCGCTAATATTCCCTATATGGGAAATTCGCTAAAAAAAGAAAATGTTGGTCTGTGGGTATGTTTAATTCAATAAGCTTGGTCCAAAAGGGAAATCTGGCCCGCAGGTTAGGGCAGTGACTTGAAGTCTAGTGTCATCAATAGTTGACGAACTTGAACTACAACTTCAACTTGGTGTTGGTAGTAAACTTGTTAAAGAGTGTGCTTATTACTGAAAGAGAATATTTTTCCTTTCAATATAAATAGGATAACATACCTTACGTCGTCAATCCTAAAAATAGTCTATGGCGACTAGTTTGAAACACCAAGGTTTCATTATCTAGCCTCTTGCCTCTTAAAAACATTGGGACATCCAATGTTTTTAAGAGGCAAGAGGCTCGACAATGAAACCTTGATGTTTTGATACTAGTCGCCATAGACTATTTTTAGGATTGACGACGTAAGTTATGTTAACCTATTTATATTGTCAATAATCAATTCTGGAGGCAATGATAAAAATATCTTTTTCCTTTGTTTTTTTTTTACTGAGATAGCAAAATAAGGCTTTAGATGTTATTGTTAACAATTGGTTGTGATTTCAGTGTGGTTTGGTTAAACAGTTGGTGTATACAACATAAATGAACCAAAAATACATGATACATCAGCACACTCATTGGTCGGGGGCTCAATTACAACGTTAATTTTACACTAAAACTGGCAACAAATTTTATCATCATGGTCTAGTTCAATGGTAAAAGCTTAAAGTAAGGAACAAGAATTGAAAAACACTAATTGCAGAATCATATAAAAACAGTATAATACAGAATCATACGGAATAAATGTGCAAGGTTTTACATCTAACACTTAAGAAAATATCACATCAGTCTGGGTGCCTGAGCTTCAGTTGAACTTGCACTTGGAAAAGTCCATTTCCGGATGCTGAGCCATGAACCTGAAAATGAATAAATCTTGTTAGGTACTGTATTATAATAGACAAAGCCTTGCACAAGTTGTGCAGTTTAGTGGGTTCCAAAGCAAAATTAATCCAGTACAATATCCATTCTCATTTTCAAAGTTATGTTTGTTTAGAACTAATAATAGGTGAATAGAACTACTATTTAAAAATATGTGTAGATTTTAGATCTACACTAGGCATATAAACAGTGATTTATCCAGCTCAATAAGATCACAGTTGTCAAAAAGTAGCCTACTTAACTTTAAAATAAATTTTCATAAATTAGCAGTTCAGATTCTAGAAATAAATTAAACATGAGGGGGGGATGCCGCCAAGGAAATTTATCCTTTTAACTAGGATGCGCAATTATCGCTAATTTGAAGGTGCGCAGACTCATAAGCTTTATAATGACACCTCAATCGCAAAAATAGGTTAAGTAGGACAGCTGGGAAAGGGAGGTAACAGGGAAAACCCTATTGTATTAGGTATATAGATAAAAACACAATCCCTTCAAAGATTTATCACCCAATTAGTTCAACTAAGAGGCCAGGCTTGTTATTAATTAAAGTGTACAACAATATCAAATCTCACAAGAGCCAAGATCTTTACTGCATTAACAACATTTTAGCTAGTTCCTACCCCAATGTTTCGATTTGTCTCATCATAGTAGCCGATGACAGTGTGAGAGACCACCAAGTAGTTGCGTTCTCCGATTAGCTTTCTGTCGTCTATGGTGATGACCCCCTATTACATATATACTTGGTGTGAGCATTCATTTCCCCTCACTTCTTTATAAGCTACTACAAGACCGATTGTCGCACATTGTTTGGGAACCAGCTAGAATAGTATAGTGGATTAAGTAAAGAACAACATTTGTCGTTCAATTCAACTATTTACTTCAAAATCGGTTTATGGTTTGATATATGGATGCAACTTTCACATGAAAAAAATGGAGTGTCTAGTTCTAACTTTGAAAGTAAAAACTCACTGGGTCTTCCTAAATGAGAGCCGCTACTACTGAAATTTTCCCTATGCAAATGTAGATGATGTAAATGAGGAATATTCAATGTATATTTATCTAACCTGACCCAACCTACCATGTAAGAGCTAAAACTAAACTGAATGTAGCGGCAGTCCATCTGATGTGGCACACTAAATTACCACTCAAATTTTTAATTTTTGCCAATATACCACCCTCCCAAGTACTCCATCCCAATCACCATCCTTTTCATTGAGAAACTAACAGTTGCGACCCTCATTATAACGGACCCACTCACTTCTGAATCATCTCCTGTTTCTTCTGCTCCTCGGAGGTGGGTCGGCCGAGCTCTCTCTGTCTCTGGTCGTACATCATCTTCTCCACCATCCCTCTCGTCTCTCCGTCCAGGTCTGACAGCTTGCTAGGCTCTGGGTTGATCTTCTTGGTTGATATCTCTGGGTCTGTCATCACCAGCTTGGACCACCACTCCATCTTGTTGATCTACAACACAGTGTTGCCAATTCATTAAAATGATATAAAAACAATAATAAACTGAAATCGTTCACAACTGATTTGTAGTTTTCGGGAGACGGCTGTGTCAAAATTGACAAAAGACTTTCCTTCACTGACATTTCTTAACAGTTTTAAAACGTTTTGTCAGTTTTGACATGGTTGCCCCTGAAGATCACTAATCTACAATAAGTGATTGTGGAAGCCTCGTAGTTAGTGTCTATGACAGTGACATTTTGTGTAAAAGGATCAAAAGCCATTTTAGGGGCAAACGGACAAAACCCTTCAAAATATGTCAATACCCTGAATACTGAATGCTTCCTCGTGCATCACAGGCTTGGACGCTAACTACTAAGCTTACACTAACACACCCCGATTTTCAACCACATCATTTTTCCTATACTCATTCTAGGATCATTCCCCTTACAGAAACCTTGCGTACTAGAGTCCCACACACTACCACTACTCCAGTTTGCTCCCAATCTTTACGATGTTAGATAAATATGAGTATCCATCAACATCGGGATGGAAATATTTCCATTCAGAAAATTGTGTAATACGAACAACATTTTATAAATTCTAAACCCTAAAGCCCATTTTTACATCTAAGTCTCTGCTCACACCAGTACCTTTTCAATATTGATGAGCAGTGCCTTGCCATCCTCCAATACCCAGGTAGACTCCTCTAGCTTCACCTCATGTTGAAGCTCTCCGTCTATGATGGGGGTTTGCCCCTTCAGCCCGACGGTAAGGTGATGTTTCTGTATCTTCACACACACATCTCTGGACTTGACTGCAGAGTTCACTGGCAGTGGCACTCTCAACTGCAACAGAAAATAACTATTGTTAGTGGGTTGTTTATGTAAAAGCGTTGATTTTTGTATACAAAAGTAGACATCATTTGTATAGACAAGCTGTAGGAAAATCTGTCTCCAAATTAAATATATAGTTTAATGAGATATATATATATATATATATATATATATATATACTAGCTGTAACCCGCGGGCTTTGCCCCGTTTAACTTCTTAATTTTCAAGATTATCTCGTTCGCATGGCTCAATCACGTCCTGGTTGAAGTTTGTTCGCTACGCTCACTCACCTTTGGGTTGGAGCTCGTTCGCTACGCTCACTCACCGTTAGGTTGGAGCTCGTTCGCTGCGCTCACTTGCCTTCAGGTTAGCTCGTTCGCTACGCTAACTCACCTCCAGGTTGAAGTTCGTTCGCTACGCTCACTCACCTTTTGGTTGCAAATTAGCTGTTGTCATAAATGTAAAAGAAATAATAGTGCTGCACCCTGTTGGTAATCCTTGTAACTTTAATGCTATTGAACATCACAGAACAAAACCAACTTGTTTAATTGAAACAGCTGTTAAGATTCAATAATTCCATTTCTCATAAGGTTAACATGGGAAACTCCAGAGCCACTGGGGCGGAGCCCGAAAGGATTTTTGAAATAAGAATATGCCTATATGTTAATCGGGAATGTGAGCTATCATCATGCCAAATTTCAGCCCAATCCGACCAGTATTTTTCGCGTTCACTTGTCACAAACATACATCCATACATCCATACATCTAAACTTTCTCATTTATAATATTATAGTAGGATATATAACAGCTAGGGTGGGCTAGTGTCAGCATTATATTTTTACTATAACAGTGAAGGATGATAAGTCATACAACATACTGTAGTTTACAATAAATGTTAGTTTCAGTTTGTTTTGGTATAGAAGCTGGTGATCAGACAGAAATCACTAATTTTTATTAGGACACTATTAAGAATTGTGTTTGTATAGGACTGACGTATTATACCAACCACTCCGATAAATCGACTTCCACATAAGATTTTATCTTACTTACCTAAGCTAGCCTAACTACCCTTAAGTTAGGTTATGTAAGGTTATAATTATTAGGTGTGGTCAGTATAATACATAAGTACCCACCTCCATACATAGTAAACTTATATGGAGAAAGAATATTTTTTGTAAAAAATTTTGAGTTTAAGTTTTTGGTGGAAATATTCAATTTGGGGTTCTCTGTTTTTAAAGTGATGTCTGTGTGTCGATGTGTACAGGGCTGCAGACCTGTTGTCTGATTTAAACGACATTTTGTATATGAGTAATTTATGGTATCTCCAGGCGTTTTTAAATTTTTTTAAATTTTGATTCTACTTCTAAGGCACGAGAGAAAAAATAATTGATAGTGTATGAGCCTTATTACAAGTGAAATGTTGCACAAATTTTCGCAATAATCACGAATGTAATTAATTTTTAAGAGTGTGGAACTTGCCCGAGTAAATAATAGACACAGAATTATCATTGGTAGAGAAGTTATCCAAAAGTTTCAAATATTGAACTACTTCAACAATATTTGTGATAAGTGAAGTATTTTTGCAGTATCATGTACTAAATGATAAATAGGCGTTCCAAATCTCAGTCAATACCTTAAACAAATTCAATCGGTAACACAATCTGTCTACATCCCACGACCTTCAAAACCGCTGCACCTATAGTGGCAAAACGGAAAAAAGTGGAAACCGATGGTTTGAAAAAAGTGGAAACCGATTTACGAATAATTAAATTCTCCCCACGCACAGAAGTCATCGTACTCCACAGTCGAGGTCGTGGCAATCAAGGCAATCCTAGGCTCGGGGCTGAACACTGTACAATTACAATGACACGGGTTCCAAAAATGCGGTTGTCCGTGAAAACCGCACGTGACGGACAGGTGTCTAAGTGTGTGTGGGATAATTGCGGTTACATCACTATGCATGGGTGTCTGGGCAGGTGGTTCTATTAACGGAACAGTCACAAAGAAGTTTCGCCTATAGGCGTTGCTTTGCCCCATATAGACGAAAGTCTGAACATCATATAAAAATGTTAGGGTGGGTCTTTTATTTTTTTAAACATTTGTACTTGTGTATCTAAGTTATTTGCATTATCAGCGATTTTTCTAAGGGAACTGCTCAAGCTCTTGTTATGCTACGATCTAACGTCGAACTTTTTCTTAGATACCACCGTTAATTGATAGCCCTAGCCCAATAACAAAATGACTTCTGGATTCAGTAACATCCACACGATCTCTTGGAATTGAACCAGAACCTTCTAATTTGAAGGCAAGCCAAACAATTAATGTCCGAACACTAACTGACTGGACAACCTTTCTAGCAAGTTGGAGTTTGGCATATAGAAAGAATTTACATGAAAATAAAAATCGAAGACAAAACAACGTTGGGAAAATCCTTTATATTAAAACGAAACAGGGTTTTTTTTATTTCACGATTCTGAATCAACCACTTGACGGATTTTTATGATTTTTGTGTTGAAAGAAAGATAATTTTGAGAACTAGGGAATGTCGAAGCCATAATTTTAGTTTAGGGTTTTAGTTTTTTAGAAATTAAGTTTTAATTTTCAAAAAGTCTAGCAGCCAACGGACAAGTTAAAGTCGTTTTAGTGTTGGTTTAACTAACAGCTGGTTTCTAACTGTCATTGAAATGTTTATGTTACAAGTTGTTTGTATACAAAAATATTGATCGTCAGAGTTTGCCTACACACTATTTTACTTTAAAGTGCAGTTTATTTTCTACCGTAAAAGATCTATGTAATCAGGAGATTGTGTAATTTTGAACTAAACATTTTAAACGTATAATCAAGTTTTGTTATAAATGCAATCCGTCTAAGTATAAGTGCTTTACGTGTGAAACCTGATAAAGGGTACATTCCAAAAGTAGACCAAAAGGCTCGGATCTCGGATGGGCTGGGAAGGCTTTGCATGGCGGAGAGAAGATACTTCAACTTTTAAAAGTGTATTCCAAGGAGTACTACAAGGTAGACGACCACTTGGAAGACCAAGTAGTGAAAGACATCTTCAGACTGGTATCTTCCTGTCATCCAGAAATGGCAGGGGATAGAAGAGAACGGGAGGCAAGGATCATTTTAGAGGTTTCAGTGGCCAAGGTGGTAAAATAAGATACGGTAAGTGATAGTAGGCCTATGCAGTGGAAGGTGGTATGTCGCTACTATACTCAAAGCCAGTGTGTGTGAATCGGCCACTAAGTTGTAAACTAGCTGTTCTGAATCATATTCAGTTTTAATTGACTACTCGATTCCCGTACGTAGGACGGGCCAACAGCTCGTTTTATAAAAGGAAGAAGGGGTTGGACACATAAGAATCAAGCTGAAAGATTACAAATGGTGGCCAAACGGGTGTTTCCTAACTATAAACACTGAGGTTTTCAAAGGAGTCGAAGAGTTGTCAAGTATGTGATGCATTGCTCTGCTTCAAAATAAAATGTCGTCCAACCAGTGTTTGGGGATTACGGAGGGAGCAAAAAATAATTGTTAAATTCGTGCCCGGTGTGAAGATTAACCGTAAATATACCAAGATGGTACATTTCGATTTCAGAAAAAATTACATGATAAGTCAGGGGCATAATGGGCAATGAAATATAATTCTTATGTTCAAAGATATCTCTTCTTCACGTTTTTACGTTACGATACGCAAAATGCATTACAAACTTAGATCTTAAAATTGAAAAAAAATATACTGAAGTGTAAAAATTCCATATGATTAGTCCTCGGGTATATTACGAAATCAGCTGTTCTCAGTGCCTTATTACCGCCACAATTTGCCGCACATTGCCACACTTGTAGTCGCTCCCAACCTATCAGTCCTGCCTTCCATACTCGATCCAAGGTCTTGGGCTAATTCCGAACGTGCTTGGATTCAAACTTGCAAAACATCAGTTTTCATTCTTGATTAAACAACAGAAATACCACAAATAGCTAAGGTGTGATAAGACTTCAATTTCGTTGTCCACAAAAACATAAAAAAAGGTTACTCGTAGATTGTCAATCCAGTTGTTTCGGAACATTTCATGTAACTTGGGGCGGATCTAAGATGAAATTGGAAGGATGTAGTTGCCAAGCGTTTTGAGTTTCAGTTTATTACTTCCAATATGTATTTAAGTTGCATTTAAGAGGTAAAGGTAATGCCATCCATATTTATAATCTTAGTCTATTTGTTTGTATTACTTTTCGATATTAGGTACTATACATTTTAATTGATAGGCTAATCAAATAAAATGTATGCATACGTATAAATTCGGACGGTAGGGATGACTCAAATTAGTGAAATTTGACTTATGAGTTTGACGATGTAACTGTTCGCCTTCAAATGATAAGCTACTGTACCCGAAGAAACAGCGCTTAGAGGTAAGAGTTTTGCATTCGTCGGCATGAAGGCTTTGAAATGATACAAAATTACCAATTATAACCTATAGGCTAAGCTATTAAGCCGGAATCTAAAATTAATAAGTAGAATAGTAGATCGTAAAATTTACTAAACAATTCAAAAAATATAGTTTCCTATTACTTGGATTGAGTTTCAGTAATGTTTGCTTATTAATCTGTACAACGCCGGTTCAAGGTTCAATAACTGAATTATGAGTGTTTACTAATCAAAGATAATTTCCAATGAATCAAAGAAACGGCATTTACTTAAAATAACCGGCACTAATCTAAACTACCGGAAACTGGGAGTAATTATGAGCCAATAACGCCAAAACCTTCACCTTTCGAGTTAACGACCTGACGCGATACGTCATTAGTTAAGCCGGACTGGTAAACGTCAAAATCAGCTGTTCTGTGACGTCACGTCGCACTGATCGTAATCAGCTGATTGTGTATGGGCGGCGGCCTCATAACGTTTGATTGATGACTGAGGTAGTTCCGCTTGGGATATACTGTATTGTTAGTTTAGCCCATTAACTGTGTTTGGTATTGTTACCATCTTCGTCTTTAGCTCGAAAACCAAATAGTGC